TCTGAGAAATGTTTGGCACAACCAAAGCTACAGTAGTCTTGAGTGAGCTTCAGATATCTGCCTCTGCATTTGGATTCCCCTTTGGTGTATCTGATCTTTAAATAGCAGTACACAGCTGCCAGTTGTAACCCTGTGGGAGTAAAGCTGTGAGCATGACTTATCGAACCCTGGACTTGGGATTAAGAGAACATGGGCCTGTCTTCAAATCTCATGAATTCATAAGTATTGGGCAAATTATACTTTCTTCAACTGTCGGGGGGGAAATTATATATTCTCATGTTATATATATATTAATAATAATAATAAATATTACATAAATATTTAAGTGGAAAAAAAATAGAAAGGAGGCACCTTTGCATCTGGGCGTGGAACATAATTAAGAGCTCATATCACATGTAGTGGTACATATTTCAAAGAGACACAATCTCTTCCTAAAGAGGGTGACAGCATGACCATTGTGTGTGACATGCCATGCCTCTGTATGTGCTTGAGAGACGACTCATTACCACCATCTAAAAAGATTTAGTCTAAGTCTGTTTTAAAGAACTGATGAAGATGGCTACTCTGTCTCACATGGTGAAATGCACACCCTTTCTTTTGTGAGTTTGTGTGCACATGTCATGTTTGACATTAACAGTGCCCCTTCATGCAGTCTGACTGTCCTAATGAGCAGTAGGGCTGCTCATCTGTTCATTAATTGGGAAAAATACACACCATGAGAGAAGAGAGCAACTGAGAGCTTGAAAGAGCCAGCAGAGCAGAGTACTGCTGCTGCCTCTGCAAATAAATTTCTGACACATACACACACTAAATTTACCATGGTAACCATAGTTACTAGTTATTTCTACAGTAAAACTATGGTAATGTGACATTAGCAATCACTGTAAATAAAAAAAGACAGGAAAAGCTGATTGCAGAGGACGAATCTTAAGTTTAAAACAGACAGACACAGTGCTACAGAACACAGGTGTCTCAGGATGTGTTTAACAGTTTTAAGTTGAACTTCTCATGCTATCTTAAACACTGGAAAAAAAACTGTGAGATGCATCGCATCACAGATGTCCCTCTAGCACATTTATGTAAAAAAAAAGAACACATGAAACACCATTAAAGCATTAAAATAGTTATGGAATTCATGCCAAATATTCTTATTGTTGGGTCTCAGCAACATTACATCATAGTTCATATATTTTTCTATATTATTTTTATATACATCTAAAATAATAAAAAAAAGCTGCACATGATACATCACGATGACTGCTAGTAAAGACCTGAATTTTGGACAGAACTAGAGATATTATCTCATATGAGCCAGGCTTACATTATGCTATGATTTTTCACAGCATAATATCCTTATCGTTTGCAGAGGGCACAGAGAGGATATTAAGATATACATCACTTTCCTATCTTCACCGAACCTGCATTACTATCATGTTGATGTAATGTTTGCAGAGGGCTGAATATTGAGAGAATGTTATCTTCACATTCATGAAGAAGGGCTTGCTTGATCTCACTGCGCTACTCTGCTTACTTAATTAGACTTTCATATCAGGAAAGTCAAAAAGCTACTGAGTCGCTACCAGATATTTTTCTTTTTTCTTTCTTTCTTGCTTCTTGGTTTGTGCTGAGAAGCTTGTATATGTTTGGTGCCCTCAGTAAATGATGATGTGCAATAGTCCAGCAATGTTACAACTGCAGCAGTGAGTTTTTCATGCATTATTGAAAACACAAACCCATCTGAGACCAACAACTGCAATTCTTGTAAAATCATCCGAGTGATATTAGCAAAACATCCATCTCCCCCACTAAGATAGCAGGTTCATGTGCCATTTTCTCACTCCTGTCATTCCCCACTTTTTATCTTGTCAACGCAGTCCCATTGAACACAGATACGGGAATTCCGCAGCCCAAGATCGTTTAACTTCAGTCACAGAACAGCCTGAAAGATATGTCATTCTTTTTTGCCCTGGGACACTTTCGAATATATTTGTGGTTGTTTTACAGAAACACATGAGTGTCTGAATGTATCCGTCTATGAGCGTGTCCTTTTATTCATAGGTGAGTCAGCGCAATCGTGCCCTTGTTCCTTCTGCATGTGGGTGTTTGGAAGCTGCTTTATACCTAATGTAGTCTGCTCACTGTGAAAGACAACATGAAACAGCATTCACAATGCATTCAACTTCCATAATGTACCGCATTTTCAGATGACACAGAATATTATGTGGCAAGCAAATATAGGATGAGGCTCAGTTTTATCCATTAGGATGTACAGTAATTGTACCATAAAAAATGGAAATTGTTACGATATAATTTAAGGTTATTTTTCTCCTCAACCATAGTCTTGTGTAGCGTCTGGACCAATCAAAAACACAATTTTTCATTTGATTTAACAAATCAGTTATTCATTAGATTAACAATATATGTTGGTACATAGGCAATATATTAGTGTCCTGAGAATCTTTAGTAATTTCGATTCAAGTTCCATTTGCAAATTACCATGCTTAGAGACAAAGGGTCGTAAAACCCTCCAGCAATTGCCACCTCCCGCTTGGAATTTCTGTCTTTCTCATTGGACAAGCCCCTCTCGAGAGGCGTTAATCTTCCGAGACCTTAAAAAGGCCTCAAACCAGGGACCCGCTCAGAGTCGGTGGTTCGGTTAGATTCTAAGATGAAAACATGAGCTAGAACGCTTCTTCAACCCCCTAAGCACGTGCCACGCTACACTTGGTTAAATCTGCAGACATGACAGCTCATTACGTGGAGAAAGTCATAATATTTTAAGCATAAATATTATAACTATTACACATTATAAATACATAAATGTATAACCGCATAAATATTAAAACGTATTATAAATAAATATATTGTTATACATATAAAACATTAATATTAATAATATTATTGGTTATCAGCAATGACATTTAACATTTTCATTAATAAATTTTAATTAGTCAATATTAATATTATTCATTTTTGTCAAAATAAATGAATAATAAACACCTAAAAATAAAAACAACAATTTTTAACTCTACAAGTGAATTTGGACATCACATTATAAATTTACCAAAAAAAAGAACATTTAAGATTTGATAAAGATTTTAATAAACAGATTTTGATCAAATATTGATAGATAAATTAAAAACAATATATTTAAAAACAACAACAACAACGAAAAACATATACTGTGTATCCCCAATTTTGATGAAATACTGTGTTCTTCAGAATAACAGACCATGGATATTTATTAAAGTAAACAGGAGAAAAGTTAATTTCATGTTGTCTTTATTAAGCCTGTGTATTCATGTGTTTGTGTATTTCTGTGTTAATATTTGTGTGCGAGATCTAACAGCTCTCGGAGAAGATCATTTAAACAGCAACAGAGCATTTATCAGTCTCAGATATAATGTGTTTGAGCTCACTTGTTTTTTTTTTCTCTTCCCCAATCAAACACTTGCCTGGCTTTTAAATGAGGAGCTAGTAGCCATAGTTACCAGAGGAGGAGACGCAGGCTATCCATCTCTCTCTCCTCACTGTGACGCTTTCTCTTTAATTTATGCTGCAGTGGCCATACTGCAGCGCACACAAAAATGGCACCATTCCTCAACAGAACTCCCTTCCTTCCTCCCTCTCTCTCTAGCCGTACACTTATCACGACAGCAATCTCTCACAGTCTGCTTCACATTTATTCTTGTGTGTGAGTGCCTGTAAGTGTGTGTGTGTGTATGTGTGAGTGTGTCAGTTTCACTTCCACCTCAGTTCACACACAAATCCTCTCCACATCAGAAAAAACTTGACAAAAATCGCACCCTTTACACAGAAACCCTCATGTTACCTCATTTACCACCTTAAAAAAGGTACAGTGGCAGTATCATGGAACAGTAATGGTAAAATCATATGATGACATATACCATGGTATTAATATGGTATTTACATGCTACTCCAAGGTACTTCAGAGGAATAGTTTGTGCTATTACCATGGAATCTTTCTTATAAATGCCTGAACAGCTCATTCTATTGCTGTAGCGGTTGACCTGACTCCATTCAACCAGCGCTGATGTTCCTGAAAGGAGCAAGTATTTGTTGGGTCTGGTGCTGAGCGGTATGTGAGGTAATAGTTTGTTTATTCCCTGGCTGGAATTCAATAAAAAGTGTTATTATAATAATAGTTTGATTCTTTGAGTAAGGTGGTTTCACATTTTTACAGCTTGGCTGTGTTTTATCAAAAGGCCTAGAAAAACTGAATCCCCACTGAGTATCCTATCCTAGAGGAGATGTTTTACACAAGTGACAAACATTTTAACCTTATTTTGTGGAACAGAGGGAAAAACTACTGGATCAAATGAGTTATTTTACTTGGAACCGGCCATAAGTTGGTAACCAAAATATTAGCAATTATGTTGTCACTGCTGTGAGAATTAATTCAAGAGAAATTCAAAGTAGAAAAATGGGCCCAAAAAAAGGTTACCTGCAAAAAACTGCATTTATACAGATATAGTGATCAGATCTACTGCAAGATAAGATATCATTGTCCTTCTTTAAATATCGGTATAAAAATTCAGACTGAAATTGGAAAGACAAATTCTCCAATTCATTTTGCCCAAACACCCACAGTTTAAGATACAAGATTTTTGCTTTCAAAACAGTCAGTTTCCAGGTAACCATTAAAAATGTCACTTTATTTCGATACCTTGTCCTGTGTTGTCAAAAGACTTGTTATAAACACAGCCAGTGGTAATTGATCAAAAGTGGTATTGTATTGCTAGTGGGCACTACCTCATACGTGTGCCTTTATCCGACCAAAATTAGCTCTAGCTCTGGTAAAAACTTGAATGGTCTCGTTTCAAAAACTTCAATTTGTATACAATTTGATGACTAGCTCTGAATGTAATAGCAGTGTTCACATCAATCATCGTCAGTCATAGAGTGTTACTATAGTTACTGTCACAAGTAGAATTTTTCTGCTAATGGCAGGTAAGCAGGGGTGTGCTGAATGTACTCACTGCGCTACTGCATGAGATGTCTTTAACTTTGAGCCAGGCAAGATCCAGGGTTCCCTCTCCTTTATAGCACGACTGCAGCCGGTCCTTAATTCTTTCATTAATTTCTTTCAGAGTGAACACACATAGAGCCGACTCCTGAGATGACTCCTTGGGCCTCCTTTTCTGTCCTTTGGAGAACACAGCATAAAGGATGTCATCATCGGGTCCTATGCCCAGCGAACGTGCCAGAATGGTACCTGCCTTGGAAAGGTAGGCCGCCTGCAGGAGGCGATACTCAACCCCACCCTTAACGCAACCAAGAGGAACCTCAACGTATGAGTTAAACGCAGTGTCGTCCTTGCAAAGTCGCACTAGTTTGGAAGTGTACACCTGTTCACGCCCGGCCGAGGATGACCCAGTCGTTGGGCCTCCTCCCATTTCAGGTTGCAATGTGAGAAAATACACAAAATTTCCACTGCTAAACCCATATATGTAATAGATGTCAAAGTCTGGTACCACCGTGAATGTATCCGATGGGATTTTAATCATGGAGGCAACAAATTCATCGTGGAAGACGTAGGCGAACATCCCATCCTCCTCAGAATTACGGGTGAGCTTACGACTGGATATTGTTGGGAAGTACTCCGGTCTTCCGTCGACAGCTGTGGCCACGAATAGCTTATCAGGTGAAGCGTCACCGTAAGACACAATGACCCCAAAAACGGAGCCACTCTCATTGACACCAGAGAGGTAGTGCTCTTTTTTATGGAAGGGCTCTCCAAGCTTAAAGAGATCATCCAGACGGAGGAGTTTGCAAATACCCTGGTACAGGCTGCCGCAAGCCAACAGCCGGTTCTCACGGTAGTCCATAAGCAGCATCTTATTGACGTTGTTGGTTAACGTGAGTGGTTCGCTGCAAGGCTGCACTATTCGGGGAGGGTAGCAGTTCCGGTTATCCTCATCTGGGCCGGTCTGATGTGACACCTGTACATCCAACCCAGGTGAGAGTTTGTAAATGCGGTTCACAGCCCCAAGGTACACATTCCCATTTCTGTGGTCCACCGCAAGATGGTTAAAGGTCCATTCAGGGTTTTCCACCTGGAATGTGCTGTATTCCTCATGTACTCTGGATGCCGCTGAAGGCTGTTGTGGCCTTGTAGCCACGAGGGGAACCAGCAGGACAATGATGCAGCAAGAAAAAGTGAAACAGTTCAATTTCCTGTTGTGGGAAGCCATTGTCCTGTTGCCCTATGGGAAGAGTGTCTCTGTCCACTACTTGTTACCTGTGCTCTGTATCAGTATTCAGGCTTCTCGTGAAGTTGGGGACATTCTGTACCTGCACAGACAGAAAGAACAGAAGAATGTTAGCATTAAAGATATTAGCATTAGCTTCGACAGCAATGAAACTGGATACCACAATTCACTGTATCCTCCACAAAAGATTCTCAGAGAAGGAGAAAGGAAGACAAATGATTAAAGCCACATGACAGTTTTCCTGCCATTTTAAAAGCGCATGAGTAATTAGAAAGAGAAAGACAGGTGAAAAAGGGCACTCTGGGGCCTCACACAGTTGGCATGAATGGATGCCATTCTCAATGGGATAATGCATTTGCCCCAGGAGCTAACAGCTAGAATGGGCACAATTTCTCTGCCTGTGCCCCACCTCACAGCCGGACCTCTGGCCCTCTAATTGACTTTCCCCTCAGTATGCGATTTGCATGCTTTGCCGATTTTCTTCCATCTTTCCAGATAGTGCTGACATGGCTGAAGGAGTGGCAGAGTTCACAGTCATGCCTAGGGCTGGGACAATAAATCGATGCATCGCGATTCGTGGATCGATCCTGAGATTTTTCGGAATGCATTGCGATTCTCTCTCGAATCGATTCTGAGCTTAGTTTTTAACAGCAGATGATGCTCTAGGCTAGTTTTTAACCGCACACTCAAATGCTCACGAAGAAGAGCGCTTGTGCATTCGGCTGAGTAATGTAAGTGGTTAAATGTACTTGCACATCGGCTTTTATGATGCGAGATTAGTGTAAACACAGCCACTGGGGAACATCCTTGTAATTCGCTTCAACCTTTTGAACTTTATGAATGATTATTTTAGGTTCAAGTAGTGCGTGTATAAGGAAATGGAAGCACGCAGAATACGGCTATTTCTAAAGCACGCAGTGCCATCTCCTGTTAAAAACTAAGCTCAGAATCGATTCAAGAGAGAATCGCGATGCCTTTGGAAAATCTCAGAATCGATGCAGAATAATTTCTCGATTTGCGATGCATCGATTTATTATCTCAGCCCTAGTCATGCCTGCAATGTCTGAGTAGTGGTGGACCACAGGGCCAATTATAAGGAATTGCTAATGGTTGCACAAAAATCAAGGGACAAAAAAAACAACAGAATTTTCTTATTATACTTGAGTAAAATATGTAACTTTTGACTCTGTAGTCTGTAGTGTTGAGCAGTACAAATGATAAAAGTTTGAACATCAATGCACAACAGAGTCTTGTATATAAACAGTATTTTTAGCTGTAGATCAAGTTAGTAGTGGTATGCTAGGCTGGCTGAGGTTCACAGTAGACGTGAAAATCACTGCCTAGCTGTTGTAGTGGGCATTAAGAAGTTATACAGAGTGAAGGGTATGGACTCCACAGTAATGATTAGCCATTGCAAAAGAAAGCAGGGACGCACTAGGGGAGGGAGTGTTAGCCCACTCAGTGGCATAGGAGAGTAATAAAGAGTTCGATACACTTTCCATTCTGCGTGAGAACGGTCCTGATGCAGCTGTGTTCGTGTGTATGGAAGAGAATGGTTGGAAATATAGTAGTGTGTGTAATCTGAGCAGTGGGGGATAATGTTCTCTGATAGAAAAGTCTAGCAAAGAACCACTTCAAAACACTATAGCAGGTATCATTTACATTTAAAGTGGGAGAAAATGGAGAGGTGAGCCGAGGAAAAAAACATGCATGAGGAAATGGTGGTCTTGAAAAGCTGAATCAAAACACAAATTATGACCCCTCAACTCGTTGGTGGGTTCAAATAATAGCCAAAAGACAAATCAACATCCTTCCCATAAAGCAATCACATGCAGAAGCTCTACAATTAAATACTCTTTTTTTTTTTTTTTACACAAAGCAGAGACAACGGGAAACTATATGGAGAGAAGAGGGGAAAAATGGGACCAGGACTTAAAACTTCATCTCCCATACAAATACCATGGCTCAATGGACCAGTAGCATGTTTACTAACCATTAGGCTATGGCTCCAACAACTCTCAGAAACATTAATGTGCAGATATCAAATTATTGTAAAATAATAAGCAGCTTGGTTTTATAGAGGCTTTTCTGTGCATGGTTAGATGTTAAGAGCAAGTATCCATGCCAATCCATGGTGGTAAAATATTTAAAAACGCATCTAGCGCTGTGCTTTAGGATCAGCTAATCAGCAAGGTCATCCAAAAACAGGGGTTTATAATTCTAGCATCTTCCCATAGGTTGCTTTAGGAGATTGCCAGTTGGACTAGATACAACATTCCCAATATCTTGAACAGGAAACATGGGTTGACCTTCAGACCGTCCAACAGTCCAGCATGTTGCCAATTGAAAACCAGTTCTTCTATTGGAAAGCTTGCTTGCAACACACACATATACATGGACTGGAGACCACATGCTGAGTAGCCACATCAAAGAGTGCTAATTAATTCGTGTTTAATACCACACATAAGCAGCATCTCTGGGAATGTGAGGAAACGGCACATTTAGGGTTTAAGCTGTGTGTGTGTTCACTTGATAAATAATTGGATATTCATGCTTCTCATTCCAATTCTTTGTCTTTCTAAGATACAACTGCGACAGTGAAGTCTCGCTTGATGCATTTTCTTTTGTGCTTCCAGAAAACCAGTACAAATAATCAGAGTAACACAGCAATAACAAGAAAATGTATAATTGTGAGTCAAAGGCATTTTTGAAAGCGCCTGAAAACTGGACTACAGAACTGGAAAGAGCTCTGTGCTAAAGAAAACAAAAGACAAAAAAGCAGGACACAGGTGTATTGATTTCAGTCCATTCTGAACTACATGAAACAAAACAATCAATACTTCAAATTCTGGTCAAAAGATTTCTTAAGCATCATTGTGAGAGCATTTGCATGCATATGTTGCCTTCTGACATCTCAGATTGAATCTGCTGTATCAAGCCTGTCCCATTCATGGCCTTCTGGCTCAAATGTGCACCAATTGCCAAAAACCATACGCTCCACACTGGGCATCAGGATGGCAAACTGAGTTGACACCAGGCTGCTTAAATCCTGGATTCAAGTTGGGTGGGTTGGTGCTGGCAGTGGTAGACTCTCTATTTTCATGCTACTTTTTGCATTTCAAGCTAAACTCCAGGCCATCTGAGTGTCAAATGAGGTCAAGTGAAGGTCTCAGAGACCTGTTGGCGGCATTAATTGACAACGTTCCAAAAATAACCAATGGGCAAAAAGAATAAGCAACTAAATTTACCTAAGACCAGACTGTTTGACTGGAGCCTTTCCAGGCTTTGCAAACACTCAACCTTGAATTTCATCAGATGTCTGTGGGAGGGGGTGGGAGGCCAAGGGCATCTGAACAATCCCGAATTTATCCTCCCTGATCTAAGAGCATTATCTCAGAACAGTGCAATTCAACTTTGATTACAGCATGTCACAAAATCTCATACTCTTTGACACCCGCACAGGCGAAATCACGCATACACACAGAAGCTTACGCATACATCCTCCTGTTCCACTTTCATTAGCACAGCCTGCGCTCCTCATCCCTCTATGGACAGATGGAGGGATTCATCCCTGATGTGGGTCTGAAGGAAAGGGCGACAGAAGGATGCTACGAAGAAAAGGAGTTATGTTTACACACGAGCACATACAGATAAGGGTTTTTAATTATCTACAGCCCTCCCAGAGGGCGAAGGGGCTACGCCCACCAAAATCTGATGGGACTTCAGGATGCTCAAAAGAGAGAGAGCAACAGAAAGGTCACACTCAACACAAATAATCTGTAATGCACTTACTCTTCAGTGTCAATTAAAATCTTCTAGAACAATCATATTGAATTTAAATTAAGGGCCGACAAATCTATAATATCACTACATGAATATCATGGCCAAAAACAACTCACAATAACAATCTTTTATAGATCTTATATAGATATTTAAAAAAAACAGAATTATGCTATCAATCAAATTAATTTGTAACTTCTTTTGTGTATGCTCTTTGTTGGTCAGTGAATCACACTAAAAACACAAGTGCAAGGAGGCAAAGAGAGGAATTTGTAACCATAACTATACAAAAGCGTACAAGACTAACAAACCGTCTTTTTTTACAGAACATAAAAAATTCCCACACTTGCGAGCTATACCGCCACCTACAATGTTAGAGTGTCAAACAATTACTGCCACTGGATTACTTACAATATTATCATATACATAGTATTAAAGGTGCGACCACATTAGCAAAATCATGCATCTAAAAAATTATCTACTGTCCATTGTCAATGGTGTAGAGATGTAGGCTATACAGCACTTATCACACAGAAGTCACTTTCAAACCAAACAGTTTTCTGATGGTCAACACAGCGAATTTGCATGACCAAACTTAAACATAAGTGAAATCTGCACAGTGAACTTTTTCACCTTCACACGAAACTCTCGATGCAGATTCCCATTCAAATGACTGGATTTCAGTCAGGAAATTTCACAGAGCAATGGTAAATGTGCGCACATCCTAACATATCAATATTTCATGGTTATAGTCAATACCAGTATATTGCAACACCCATACATCAAATTAGGGCTGGGCGATTTTTCAGATTTTATTGATTCATTCGAATTTAATGTTTTGCCACGATTTGATTTTTTATAAATCGAGGAATCACGATTTTGAATAGAAATATTACCAAACGTTAGAATTAGACACTTTGACAACATGCCAATGTTAACAGTAAAAGAGAAAAGAATGATCCAACCGCATGTCGGCGCCATAAGGACCATAAGTAGAATATATCACTAGGTGCCATTTACACAGAATGAGCTTTTGTGTTGACAACGATGCGGCACGGGCAGTGGAATAGGGAAAAATGCAGGAAGATGAACTTCTTTTAAATTGAGCACCGCGGTTTTTAGTATGCCGTTTCATGCATGAGACGCTGCAAGAGATGCAAGCACAACAGTCAAACGCGTGTCTGGAAACATGGAAACATTTTTCCATGTTTACATGGAAAAAACAATGGAAAATCAGCGCAATTGAATGAAAACCTGTAAAGAACTACTACTGTATGATATTTCATGTTTGCATCATGGTGA